CGCGGCGTGGGGGACGTAACCCTTCTCCACGCATCGATCCGAGCATGCAAGCCGCGGCTTACAGAAATTTCAGCAAAAGAAAGAGAGGGAGAGCGGGAGAGACGAAGTGCAAGAGGAAAGATACAGTTACAATGGCGCCCGCCCAAAATTGCAGTCACACACACGATTAAGGGCGCCCACTAATCAGAGTGTCGTTGCAGCTGCATGAAAAAGCCCGTAGACAAAAGGTGCAGTGCGACAGAAAAAGTCCTAATTACTGAATTCCTAAATTCCTATCTAATGCGGAAAAGTAAAAGGCATACATTCCAGAAAGAAAGTCCAAAATCCCGAGAGTCATCGGGGCTCGACAAAATTCGAAAAAGATTCAAAAAGGAAATTCAAAAAGAACAAAACAATTTCCCGCGCGATGTCCTCGCCCAAAAGATCGAACCCGAAACGAAAGAAACGACGTCAACATTTATTAATCGCGCGCGTGGTGGTGCGCCCGACATCCATCTGACCAATCGCCCAGCCGTCCGTCCCAAGACACACCCAGCCCCGAAGAAGCGACGAAAAAGACGAAGAAGCAAGGGTACTGATGCAATTTTCCACCGATCCCGGTTTTTCGTAATTGGCCCAATCTTCCCAGCTTAGGACCCCTCGTTCCAACCGCGCAGAAACTCGCACGTTACAGAAAGTGCTTCGTCACAACACAACAGGATATACCTGGGGAGAGGTCCCACTAGCAAAGAGGATTGGATTGAGCTTCTGAATCTGGACTTGTTAACGTCTTGTTTGTGAAAACGTGCAGAAAATCGAGATCCAACTGCTTTTCTGCATCTCTGGTTAAAACACGTCCAGATTCAGGATGTTTATCCAATACTCTTTGCTGGTGGGACATCGCCCCTGGTTTCACGTCCAAAGGGGTGTTTGTCTTTTTTCTTTTTGTTTTTTTGTGGTTGTGAGCGCTTCTTTCTTGGAAAGTCTGGCCGTGCTTTTTTTTTTTTTTTTCTTGTTTCAGAGAGTACCAGAAAAGAAGCAAAACGGACCCCAGGCTCGACAAAACTTGGTACGCAATGTTTCTGAGTTGTCACACACCCAAAGTCTCCTCCGGAAGGACTGGTAGGAGGCGGCGCCGTAGCGCTCTAGTCCTACTACGCGCATGCGTTAACGTTAGGGTTTGTCGAGCGCGGCGTTTGGTCGCCATGTCCCGGAGCGCTCAGCGCGGGAAAGGCGAGCCGCGAAGCTGTCGGGCTTCCAATGTGAGTTCGAGCAAGAGTGGCGTGAACTTGTCCTGAGGAAAGGGGAAGGAAGGTGGGGTAGTATCGGGAGAGAGGAGTTGGGTAATCGAATAACGAAACTGTTGGAACCTCATGAGTCGAAGATCGCCATTATGAGGCGACCTTCCCATGGAAACGCTTTTTGTCGGATATCTTGGAAAGTGACAGGATCTTTTTTTTCATAGTGCGACATCAGGAGGAACTCTCCTGAGCAGGCTGGTTTTTTTTTTTGTTTTTTTTTTTTGAGAAGTTGTGACTTTATATTTCAAAACAAAGTGGTCGAGGCCGGGGACCTCACAATTCTACCCGGTGCTTACAAGATAAAGCTTGCTGGAAACCGGGTCCAGCGTCCCACGACCGCCCAATCTCAATAGGACAGAACTCCTCAAAATAGCCTTGAAGCACAAAAAAAGCGGCTAGACTAATCAACAACCTCTCCACTCCTTCAGCCTATACCATGATACCCTTGCGCCGCAGAAGAAGAAGAACAACGCCAGCATGCTTCTAAAGTTGAAACACTATTAGCTAAAGACTACTAATTATCATCTGCAAATCTAAAAAAACACGCAAGGCAATTCACAAGGAAATTGAATCAACTTCAAAAAAATCTACACAAAATTAACAACGACCGAGAGACCAGCCTTTACGGAATAAACTGCAATATCCCCTAATAGGCAGAATGCACTGAAAAACAACAGGAAAACCCTGAAACTTACCACATGAACACACCGAAACAAACTTCGAAAGATTTGTACGATTCCAGTATAGGAAACGACAATAACCACATAAAACCTTCAAAAACAACCACGTAGACTACTCTAAATTCTCCGAAGGAAGATCCATCAAATCCATCAAAACCAAAAGAGAGGCCCGTCGGACCAGCTAATAGCCGTGTGGAGCCGGGGTTGTCATGACGAGGTTTCCCACCTTGTACCCTTGAGAATCTGTAGGGAGTACCATATTCCAGGTACTCTAGATCTCAATGGGTACAACCCATATTTGCTCTTTTTAACAGCTAAATGTTAATCGGTCGTGCCCTAAGTAGCTCAGCAACGCTGCCACAATCACTAGTAGGTCTCCCACTACCTCCAGTCATTCCGTTGCCTGCTACGGACAATCCCCGTATAGATCCCAAAGGAGAAGAAGGAACACCAACAATCTAAGTTTACACCAAAATAAAGCCAAGCAACCGAAAGGATCACCAACAATCTAAATTCACACCGTTGTGAGGCCAAACCAACGAAAGAGCACCAACACTCTCAAGTTCACACTGTAGTGAAGCCAAGCAAGAAAAAGAGCACCAACACTCTTTAAGTTCGGAAACGAGAAGAGCAGCCAAGATTAGGCTCACAGAGGGCTTAAAGAAGGGAAGATAATTCCACGTTCAACGGAATAAGGAAACGGCTCAAATAAGGAGGAGCCCGTATACCTAAAGCAGGGGAGGTTAGATAAAGTGAATGTCTCTACGTGTCATCGTGACCTCCGGTCGAGACTAACGCTTTGCTCCTTTTTGCCCTACTGGAAACGCTCCCACGGCCACCAGTGAAACTCCCACTTCCCAAAGGTGACATCGTCCTGTAGAGCTTTAGGTCTTCTCATACTTCGAGTCTTCACGCTCCCGGTTGAGGTAGTCGCTAGTACTTGGCTTGTGCTCCTCACAACAAGTCCCACCACTGCCAGTTGCCCTCCCACTGCTCCCGGAAGTGCCGCTGTCTGACTCACCATTCGCCGTGCACTGGACTCACTCTCCCTTCTTCGTGCCGTTGGTCATGTATGTTTCCCAAAAACGTGGTTCATACAGAGGTTGCAATCGCCTGAAATTTGAGCGTTGAAGGTTGTAGAGGGATCCGGAACCACCCTCCTCCCTGGTCTTCCACAGGGAGGCACAGCCCCTTGTCGAGGCTGAGGGAGATGGCCGAACCTCGAGAGTACCGAGTACTCCATAGCTCCGTCCCA